GTGGCAGTGTTGAGTCTTGTGGGTGGCAGTGCTGAGTGTTTGGGTTGCAGTGCTGACTCTATGGGTGGCAGTGTTGAGTGTATATGTGGCAGTGCTGACTCTGTGAGTGGCAGTGCTGAGTCTTATGGGTGGCAGTATTGAGTCTATGGGTGGCAATGCTGACTCTATGGGTGGCAGTATTGAGTCTATGGGTGGCAATGCTGACTCTATGGGTGACAGTGTTTAGTCTCATGGGTGGCAGTGCTCAGTATATTGCTGGCACTTCTGACTCGATGGATGACAGTGTTGAGTCTTTTAGTGGCAGTGCTGAGTCTATGGGTTTCAGTGCTGACTCTATGGGTGGCAGTGCTGAGTCTTATAGGTGGCAGTGTTCAGTATATGGGTGGCAGTGTTGAGTCTTATGGGTGGCAGTGTTAAGTCTATGGGTGGCAGTGCTGAATGTATGGGTTTCAGTGCTGACTCTATGGGTGGCAGTTCTGAGTCTTATGGGTGGCATTGTTGAGTCTATGGGTAGCAATTCTGACTCTATGTGTGGCAGTGTTGAGTGTATGGGTGGCAGTGCTGACTCTATGGGTGGCAGTGTTGAGTCTTGTGGGTATCAGTGCTGACTCTATGGGTGGCAGTATTGAGTCTTGTGGGTAGCAGTGCTGAGTCTATTGCCGGCACTTCTGACTCTATGGATGACAGTGTTGAGTCATTGGGTGGCATTGCTGAGTGTATGGGTTTCAGTGCTGACTTTATGGGTGGGAATGCTGAGTCTTATGGGTGGCAGTGTTCAGCCTATGAGTGGCAGTGCTGAGTGTATGGATTTCAGTGCTGACTCTATGGGTGGAAGTGCTTAGTCTTATGGGTGGCAGAGTTGAGTCTATGGGTAGCAATGCTGACTCTATGGGTGGCAGTGTTGAGTCTTATGGGTGGCAGTGTTGAGTCTATGGGTAGCAATGCTGACTCTATGGGTGGCAGTGTTGAGTGTATGGGTGGCAGTGCTGACTCTATGGGTGGCAGTGTTGAGTCTTGTGGGTGGCAGTGCTGAGTGTTTGGGTTTGCAGTGCTGACTCTGTGGGTGGCAGTGTTGAGTGTATGGGTGGCACTGCTGACTATATACATGGCAATGTTGAGCCTATGCGTGGCATTGTTTAGTCTATGCACGGCAGTTTTGAGTCTATGCATGGCAGTGTTGAGTCTATGCATGGCAGTGCTGAGTCTACGGCTGGCAGTGTTGAGTCTATGGGTGGCAGTATTGACTCTATGGGTGGCTGTGCTGACTTTATGGGTGGCAAAGTTGAGTATATGGTTGCCAATGTTAACTCTATTTATGGCAGTGTTGAGTATTTGCATCACATTGGTGAGTATATGCATAGCAGAGTTGAGTCTATGTGTGGCAATGTTGAGTCTATGGGTGGAATTATTGTGTCTGTGCGTGACAGTGTTGAGTCTATGGGTGGCAGTGTTGAGTCTATGGGTGTCAATGTTAAATGTATTGGTGGCAGTGCTGAGTCGGTGGGTGGCAGTGCCGACTCCATGGGTGGCAGGTTTGAGTCTATGGGTGGCAGTGCTGAGTGTGTGAGTGGCAATGTTGAGTGTATGTGTGACAATGTTGACTATATGCCTGGAAATTTTGAGTCTATGCGTGGCATTGTTGAGTCTATGCGTGGCAGATTTGAGTCTATTCATGGCAGTGTTGAGTCTATGTGTGGCGGTGCTGAGTCTCTGGCTGGCAGTGCTGAGTCTATGGGTGGCAGTGTTGACTCTATGGGTGGCAGATCTGACTTTATGGGTGGCAGTGCTGACTCTATGGGTGGCAATGCTGAGTCTTATGGGTGGCAGTGTTGCTTCTATGGGTGGCAGTGCTGAATCTATGGGTGGCAGTGTTGAGTATTTGCGTCGCATTCGTGAGTATATGCATAGCAGAGTTGAGTCTATGTGTGGCAATGTTGAGTCTATGGGTGGAATGAGTGTGTCTATGCGTGACAGTGCTGAGTCGATTGGTGGCAGTGCTGACTCTATGAATGGCAGTGTTGAGTCTTATGGGTGGCAGTGTTGAATCTATGGGTGGCACTGCTCACTCTATGGGTGGCAGTGTTGAGTGTACGGGTGGCAGTGCTGACTCTATGGGTGGCAGTGTTGAGTCTTGTGGGTGGCAGTGCTGAGTGTTTGGGTTGCAGTGCTGACTCTATGGGTGGCAGTGTTGAGTGTATATGTGGCAGTGCTGACTCTGTGAGTGGCAGTGCTGAGTCTTATGGGTGGCAGTATTGAGTCTATGGGTGGCAATGCTGACTCTATGGGTGGCAGTATTGAGTCTATGGGTGGCAATGCTGACTCTATGGGTGACAGTGTTTAGTCTCATGGGTGGCAGTGCTCAGTATATTGCTGGCACTTCTGACTCGATGGATGACAGTGTTGAGTCTTTTAGTGGCAGTGCTGAGTCTATGGGTTTCAGTGCTGACTCTATGGGTGGCAGTGCTGAGTCTTATAGGTGGCAGTGTTCAGTATATGGGTGGCAGTGTTGAGTCTTATGGGTGGCAGTGTTAAGTCTATGGGTGGCAGTGCTGAGTGTATGGGTTTCAGTGCTGACTCTATGGGTGGCAGTTCTGAGTCTTATGGGTGGCATTGTTGAGTCTATGGGTAGCAATTCTGACTCTATGTGTGGCAGTGTTGAGTGTATGGGTGGCAGTGCTGACTCTATGGGTGGCAGTGTTGAGTCTTGTGGGTATCAGTGCTGACTCTATGGGTGGCAGTATTGAGTCTTGTGGGTAGCAGTGCTGAGTCTATTGCCGGCACTTCTGACTCTATGGATGACAGTGTTGAGTCATTGGGTGGCATTGCTGAGTGTATGGGTTTCAGTGCTGACTTTATGGGTGGGAATGCTGAGTCTTATGGGTGGCAGTGTTCAGCCTATGAGTGGCAGTGCTGAGTGTATGGATTTCAGTGCTGACTCTATGGGTGGAAGTGCTTAGTCTTATGGGTGGCAGAGTTGAGTCTATGGGTAGCAATGCTGACTCTATTGGTGGCAGTGTTGAGTCTATGGGTAGCAATGCTGACTTTATGGGTGGCAGTGTTGAGTGTATGGGTGGCAGTGATAACTCTATGGGTGGCAGTGTTGAGTGTTGTGGGTGGCAGTGCTGAGTGTTTGGGTTGCAGTGCTGACTCTATGGGTGGAAGTGTTGAGTGTATGTGTGGCAGTGCTGACTCTATGGGTGGCAGTGCTGAGTCTTATGGGTGGCAGTATTGAGTCTATGGGTGGCAATGCTGACTCTATGGTTGGCAGTGTTGAGTCTCATGGGTGGCAGTGCTCAGTCTATTGCTGGCACTTCTGACTCGATGGATGACAGTGTTGAGTCTTTTGGTGACAGTGCTGAGTGTATGGGATGCAGGGCTGACTCTATGGGTGGCAGTGATGATTTCTTATGGATGGCAGTGTTCATTCTATGGGTGGCAGTGCTGAGTGTATGGGTTTCAGTGCTGACTCTATGGGTGGCAGTGCTGAGTCTTATGGGTGGCAGTGCTGAGTCTATTGCTGGCACTTCTGACTCTATGGATGACGGTGTTGAGTCCTTGGGTGGCAGTGCTGAGTGCATGGGTTTCAGTGCTGACTCTATGGGTGGCAGTGCTGAGTCTTATGGGTGGCAGTGCTGAATGTATGGGTTGCAGTGCTGACTCTATGGGTGGCAGTGCTGAGTCTTATGGGTGGCAGTGTTGAGTGTATGGTTGGCAATGTTACTTATGCGGGTGGCAGTGTTGAGTCTATGGGTGGCAGTACTGAGTGTTTGGGTTGCAGTGCTGACTCTATGGGTGGCAGTGCTTAGTCTTATGGGTGGCAGAGTTGAGTCTATGGGTAGCAATGCTGACTCTGTTGGTGGCAGTGTTGAGTGTATGGGTGGCAGTGCTGACTCTATGGGTGGCAGTGTTGAGTCTTGTGGGTGTCAGTGCTGACTCTATGGGTGGCAGTGTTGAGTCTTGTGGGTAGCAGTTTTGAGTCTATGGGTGGCAGTGTTAATTCTATGGGTGGCAGTGTTGAGTCTATGGGTGGTAGTGCTGAGTGTTTGGGTTGCAGTGCTGACGCTATGGGTGGCAGTGTTAAGTGTATGGGTGGCAGTATTGAGTCAATGGGTGGCAATGCTGACTCTATGGGTGGCAGTGTTGAGTGTATAGTTGGCAATGTTAATTCTATGGGTGCCTGTGTTGCGTCTCATGGGTGGCATTGCATAGTCTATTGCTGGCACTGCTGACTCTATGGATGACAGTGTTGAGTCTATGGGTGGCAGTGTTGAGTGTATGAGTGGAAGTCCTGAGTCTATGGATGGCAGTGTTAAGTCCAGTGGCGGCTCCTGCAAAATCTCTCAGGGGGGGCAAATGTCTGGATGATTGATAAGGATAAGGTCCACCCATGCAATGGATAAATTAACAGCTTAAGCATGTAAAGGCAACTTCACTTCTTTAATATTAATGAAAAATAAAGTGACTTACAATACATCTTGTTTGTTTCTATACTCACTATTAATACCATTCACTCAAGTTTCTTTTATTAAAGATTCCACTAGGTGGCGACAAATTATATTGTTGGATGAAACGTGCTTACGTATGATGACGTAAGCACGTTAGGGCGAGCCCTCCCGGAAGCCATAGAGAATGCATTGCAGCGCCCCCTGTTCGAAAAAAAACATTTTTGAATGTAAGTCTATGGGGCCACTCGGGGCGATTCTCAGCCGGAGTGAAATCGCCCAAAAAGAGGCGGTACTCCACAGACCGTGACATGACGCTGATTGGACTATATCCAGAGGCACAGTGACGGCTAGCGTGACTCTGTGGTTGAATGACATTGGTGGTGCGTCGCCCAATCGCCCTAATGAAGAAACCGCCCCTGGTTAAGTCTATGCATGGCAGTGCTCACTCGATGGTTGCAATTGTTGAGTCTGTGGGTGGCAGTGCTGATTTTATGGGTGGCGATGCTGAGTTTATGGTGCAGTGCTCAGTCTTTGGTGTCTCTGTTCTTCTCGCAGGGCTGTACATCAAACGACGTGGACTCAGCCAATGCTCAATGGAAACTTCAAGTCCTTCACTGTCCACGAATCTAACCTTATCTTATTAAACGCCGGTGGGATCTTGAAGTTATGCAAACTGTAACACCATTATTCGCTCACCCACCCACTCACTCACCTTTTCGCCCCCTTTCCCTCCAACTCACCCACCTACTCACCCACCTTCTCACTCAACCTCCCACTCATACACCCACCCACTCTTTCACCGACCTATTCACTCACCCACCTACTCCCTCACCCACTTTCTCACCCACCCACTCTCTCACCCATCCATTATCTCACCCTCTCGCCTATCCAGTCATCCACTCACTCTCTCAGCCACTCACCCATTCATCCACCCACTCACCCATCTACTTATCCACCCACTCAATCAGACACTGACCGTCCCATTCACCGACGTACCCACTCACTCACCCACTCATTCATTCACCCATCCACCCACTCACTCACCAATTCCCCCACTCACCCACCCACCCACTCACTCACCCTCCCACTCATCCACCCACCCACTAACCTACCCAGGTGATAGATATGTGGTGGTGGTGAGTTCTTTTATTTTTGTTGTGTTTTAAGATTAAATTTAACAAAATAAGAACATTCAACAAAGAGTGGAACCTATGGAACTTCAATGGAGAGTCATTCAGCAGCCTTTACAGAGACACCTCGATATACAAAGATGTGATCTGCCTCGTCTGGTATGCCGGAGGTCCTGGGTGATGGTGGTGATGGTGGTGGTGACGGGGGTGATAGCGATGGTGATTGTGATGGTGGTAGTTATGGTGGTGGTCGTAGTCATGGTGGTGGTGATGTGGATGATGGTGATGGTGGCGGAGAGGGTGGTAAAATATGTTATTGTAGGTAATTAAGTGTGATTAACAAAAATTATGCGTTAGGTGTATTTAACAATGTGATAAAATGTGTTATATGATTAATGTATGTGTTTTTATTTGTACATGCCTAAACAACTTTTGTTCAGCCGGATAGAGGGGGCTAAACAGGCGCGGCACGGGCAGAGAAGAGATGGAGTGATGAGGTACAGAAGTATGTGGAGCTGAGTGGATTTGCCGATGACTGGTACCAGCGGTGTCAAGATCGGCCTCTGTGGAGGAGGCTCGTGAAGGACGCTGCTGGGCAGTTGGAGGCAGCCGCCCTCCAACAACAACGGAGGGCAGAGGAGTGACGCCCACAACAACGAGCGGAGCTCCGGTTGGCTAAAGCACAGCAAGTTGGCACAGTAGGGGGCACAGGTAGTGCATCAGCCAATCATCTTGGTCATCTCAGTCAGTCGACCCGTGGCACCTGTGTCTGCGCAGTGACCTCCTGCCAGCGGGCGTTCGACACTTCACGTGGCCTCAAGGTGTACATGGCCTGACACAAGTGTCGTGGTGACGTCACCGCCACTTAGTGGCGAATGGCGGTTGTTGTTGTTGTATGTGTCGTTATTATGTTGTGCGATTTATTATTGGCTCTCTCATTGTCTAGGGGTATGCATTACTGATCGAGATAATCTCAATGATTCTCGTTTCAATATATATATGATAGTCGCTTCAACATTTATGATTCTTGCTTCAGCATTTATGATTCACACTTTAATAGTTACATGTGAAATTATGTCAGGTCTTCAGGATTCAGATCTCATCGCCGGATACTGTTCGTTATTATGACAATGACGGACGAATTTAGTAAATAAGCACTCGCAAATCTGTTTTTCATCTAAGCAACTTCAATCTCAACTTAACTTCATATCCAACAACTCTTATCATCAGTATTCCAACAGTGCCCATGCAAATATACATAATCAATCCGTACTGGATGATCATAAAAGCATCTCACGATCACGTGGTTAAACCAGAACAATAGGCAACACGAACACCACCTCCTCTTCGGGTTCCCATTAAAATTTCTGATTTTTATCAGTTAGCACGTGCAGTGGTTTAGCGAGCGTAGCAAACTGTGGAACAAACCGAAGGTAGTACAACACGAACCCAACAAAACTCCATACATCCCCGACGCATGTAGAGGTCGGCCAGTCGCGAACACAAGCCGTCTTGTCCAGATCCGTGGCGATACTGTCAGAGCTCACAATGTGAACCAGGTACCGCATTGAACGTTGAAACAGATGACATTTCTTAGGTTTAAATTTGAGGTTAGCGAAGCGCATTCTCTCAAAAACGGCAGGCAAGCTTCGGAGGTGTTCCTCGAACGTGCGACTGAACACAATAATATCATGAAAATATATGAGGCAAGTGTCCCATTGCAATCCAGCCAAAACGAGCTCCATCAAGCATTGGAACGTGGTGGGAGCGGAATTCAATCCTATCGGAAGACAGTTGTATTGAAAGAGTCCCTGAGGCATGCGGAATGCGGTCCTCGGCTTTGAAGAGTCGTCCAGGGGCAACTGCCAAAACCCGAAAGACAAATCGAGAGTCGAGAAATACCGCGCTCCCAACAGCGAATCGAGGGAGTCATCCATTTACGTATGGGTATACGCGTCAGCCATTGACACCTTATTAAGTTTGCAGAAATCAACACAGTATCTGAGATTGCCATCCTTCTTCTTGACAAGAACAGCCAGTGCCCCCCACGGGCTGTTAGACAAAGAAATTATATCAATGGCCAGCATATCGTTCACCGTGTTCTGCACTCGTTCCTTCTCCGTAGGGCTCAAGCGGTGGGAATTTTGCCGATATAGGGCTGGTCTCCCTGGTATCAATGTGGTGGGACAAAAGAAACGTGCGACCCAAATCGAAATCATCTTTACTAAAGACATCAGCAAACTCGGTAAACAGCGCACGCAGCCCCACACGTTGGTCGGCGGACAACGACAAATTCTCACGGCATAGTTCAGTGATCCAATGATGGGCCGACAATGAACCCGGACAAGTCAAACTCACCACCTGGCAGGACACGTCCTCGTCGTGATCCGTAAAAGCGGCAGCAGCATGAGCCAGCACCATACCCACAAGGACCAGAACCCCTTCCGGGCCCCCATTTAGAACCTGAAAAAATGGGGCCTGTCCAGAACGGACAATCGTCTGAGTGCCAATAAGAAACAAAACCCATGGTAGAAGCGTTAGAGGGAGACGAAAGGATTCCAGCGTAATTATCCGAAATATTACTATTTTATGTATTTATGCGCATACTTTATGCTAATTAGAGAGGTAGCCTTGATTGGTTATGCTAAAGTATGGGATTATGCTAATGTATATAGTTATGATCGTTATGCTTTGCTTCGTTGTCTAGGGTTGTATTATCAGTCGGGACAATACAATGAATTGTATTAAGTTATGCAAGTGTGATGAAATTATGCTAAATTAAGCTCAGCTTCGTTGTCTAGGGTGGTATTATCAATTGGGATAATACAATTATTCTCGCTTTAACATTTTGTTGTATGTGTTGGGTTATGAAATTTTGATAAAAATAATAAAAATTAATAATTTCCCGAAAAATGCGCAAATCGCATTAATTATGTTAATGTGTGTATTAATAGGCATAAATTATGATAATGCGTGTGATTATATGCATAAATTATGATAATCGTAGTAATTTATGCGGAGGCTTGCGATTATGTTAATGTGTGCAGTTATGATAATTTGCTTAGTTTCGTTTATCCAGAGTTATCAATCAGGATAACACGATTATCATAGATTCATTTACCGATTATCCTAGTGTGTGTTATAATATTTTAGGTCTCCATTTTCATATCTCATCACAGGATACAGTTGTCAAGAATAAGACAGTTTTGCATGGACTTGGAAGGAACACTCGATATGCTTCTTGATTACAATTTTATTCTAACAAGCACGTGACATTCTATCATGCAGGTTAAACATGCGTCAATAATTCATGGGCAAGATTATGCAATTAACTAAATTGAATGACTAAAAATACTTCTTCATTGGCGAAATTATGCAGTTAACGAAAATGACTAAAACATTTCTTATTCATGCAACTCGACGGCAGCAACTGCTTTGCACGATCAGTTGATATTGAACGCACCACCTCGAAATGGCAACCCTTTTGAAACGCAAAGATCACTTTTTGAAAGTCTTATTCGTGTGCGTGCTGTGTGTGCGTTGTCCTCTCGTAATATTAATTGTGTCGTTAGCTTGTGTGGTGTGGGAGGATACGAACAGCTCCTGCTGCTCCCTCGCTCGGCGTGTCGCTCGGCTTTTGCTCTCTCTCTCTCTCTCCACTGCTGGATTGAGCGGCGTTGGCACGATGTTCCTTGAAGAAACTTGCTTGCTTGGCGCTTGATGGTTCCGGGGGCTTGGTGCTGCTCGTGCGCTCTCTCTTTCTACTGCTAGATGACGAGTTGGCACGATGCTGTCCTTGAAGATGCTCGGTCGCTCGTGTCGCTCGGTGTCGCTCGGTGGCGCAAGGTGTCGCTCGTTGTCGCTCGATGGCGCGCGGTGGCGCACGGAGGCGCACGGTGGCGCACGGTGGCGCAAGGTGGCGCACGGTGGCGCAAGGTGGCGCACGGTCAGCGCTCGTTCAGCGATCTCCGCCTTTCCTGCGGGTTGTTCGCTGGTCGTCACTCTGACGAGGAGCGATGCTTCGTTCGTGGCAGGGTGGACGTTGGCGTCTTTGTTGGCTTCACTCGCAGCTCTGCGACTCAGGGTAGCGATTCTTCTCAGGTGGTGCAGACCTCGGCTTGTAGCTACGCGTCGCTACTCCGCAAACCTCGTCATTCTGAATGACAGGAGCTTCTTCGTTGGCGGCGACGAGGAGAGATGGAGCCACAGCCCTGGAGATCTGTGATGGGGGCCAGAGCCCCTGTCGATCTGAGTTGTATGGATTTTCCTTCGGTTTATATCGGAAAATTCCACTCGGCTTCCCGAGTTGTTCAAAAGCTGTGTCATAAAACCTTCCTGTGGGGGTGGACCATCTGCGTCCGTGTGTGTGTCCGTCCGTGTGTTTCGCGTGCGTGTTTGTCCGTGTGTTTCGCGTGCGTGTTTGTCCGTGTGTTTATTAGCTTTGAAGACACAGCTGTGTGTGTCGTTCTGGAAGAAAGGGGTGGGGGCCTCGTGTCGGCTGCTTCAGAAGTTATCCATTAGCCAGACCGATGATTCGCGTTGAGTTAAAAAAAAACATTTGAATCCATGTTTTGTTACTGAATACTATTTGTCGCGAAAACCTACGCGTTAAGCGAGCTTAACTATTCACTCCCTTGCTCTGGGATCACATCCTTTGTCTCACACAGCTTAAGTTGGTTTGGTTTGGAAGTTGAAATGCGACTTATTTGCTGCTTGGTTATGCCGAAACCGTGTTCACGATGTTTCATCGTGACCCGATCTCCCATGGAAATGTCATTTCCTGGCTTGTGCAATTTTTGCTGTCCGTGTTGTGGGAAGACAAAGGCGGTTGTTTCCACGGTGGGAGCACCCGGCGTATGCTTATTTATTCGAAGACGTGTGTTAATTTCCTTTGAGCCCTTGCCCCAACTTTTATGGGTGTCATTTCCTGGCTTGGTGCCTGTGTGTCGTGATCCTCTCGGAAAGACAAAGGCGGCCGTGTTGCTCGCTTCCCATGGGTGTTGTGTTTGGTTAATTTTGAGAGCCTTCTCCGCCCTTGATTTCTCTTCTACTTTAATTCCGTACTTATTTTTTGACTTCTTGTGATTATTTGATCTGATATCCCGGCTAGGAATTTTGTTTTGGAGCGAAATCGATGCCATAATTATTCTTTGATGCTTCGGCCCGGCCGTGTAGATATTCTTTAAAGGTAAATAATGTCAGTATTTATTAACAATGATGGGTCGCGATTCTGGTTCAGATTGTCGTCTGGTTTTCAATTGGAGTGAGGATGGATACTGTTTGCTTAATCTTTATGGTTAAGTTGGTAACTTGTGTATTTAACATGGTTCAAAGACCCATCTGTGCTTTTTGTCGTCGATGCTGTTTCTTTGTTAAGAATATAATTATCTCTTCCTCCGTGTCTCCTGGTTCTGCAACCCCCCGCCTGCAATTCCCCCCCTCCCTTGTTCCTCTTGTGTGAATTTAGGGGAGTTTTTTTTTATTACCTTATTGCCCCCCCTTTCATGTCCTCTTTCCTTTGAAATGAGGTATGCGCGCATCTGTGGAAGTGTGGGGGCCTCTGTGGAAGTGTGGGGGCGTGTTCGTTCCCACGTGGCCGCGTCTATTAAAAAAAACGATATTATCTATGTTGGCAGAATAATTCTTTAAAAAAAAATATTTAAAAAAATAAAAAGGGGGTACATACACAACAATTTACTGATTATGTCTTAGTGTGTTGATGTCAGGTCTCCAAATTCAAATCTCACCGCAGGATACAGTTCTTATAATAAAGATTATTTTGCATGAACTTAGGAAGGCACCACTCAGACTCTTCTGTAATATACAGTAGGGTGTGTAGAATAATACATAGTGTAGTATTACAATGTATAGTCTAAGATCCTCAAGATACAGCTTCGCTGGGCAGGGCACATCGCCAGGATGGAGAACCACCGCCGACCTAAGATTGTGCTGTATGGGGAACTGTTCTCCGGCTATCGCGACATAGGGGCACCACGAAAGCGATACAAAGACTCCCTGAAGAAGTCCCTCACTGCTTGCTGCATCGATCACCGTCAGTGAGCAACACAAGCAGCCGATCGCAACTCCAAGCGGCACACAGTCCACCAGGCCACCTCCTTCTTCGAAGATACCTGCAGGGCCTGTATGGAGGACAAAAGGAGAAGGAGGAAGAACCCTGACCCCTCAGCACCCATCCCAGATCAGACCTAGACTTGCAGCCGTTGTGGCAGGACCTGCCTGTCCCACATAGGCCTCGTCAGCCACCAGCGTGCCTGCAGAAGATGTGGATGTCCTTCCTAGATCTTCGTTCGTGAAGCCAAGCTATGATAAGAGTTTAAGGTATAGAGTTTAAGGTATAGAGTTTAAGGTAGTGTATAGTAACGCTGTGTATAATTCAATGTTAGTTTGTCTATGGCAGTGTATAGTACGGGGTATATCCGTGTGATGTAAGAAAAAAGTTTAGCTGGAGGCATATCATTATTTTTTTGCGACATAGAAGTGTAATGTATGGCTTACTGTTAGTAGCTCCGCTTATTGGAGAGTGTATTGAGTATTAATTCTAGATTTGAAGCTTTCGTGAATGCAAGAATTCATATTCTTGGGTTTTTCCAGTAAAGTCACATAGGTAAAAAATAAACCGTTACAGCACGATTGCTGTATGAAGTAAGAGACATTCTAAGAGACCCGTCCTTGTATATATACTGGTTGAGGGGGAGAGGAGCCAAGGTAGGCACCTGGATCGGAGTTTTGTGGCTGAAGCCGCTGAAGCCGCAAAACTCCGATCCAGGGGCCTGCCTTGATTCCTCCCACCCTCAACCAGTATATACAAGGACGGTTTTCTTGGAATTTCTCTTACTTGATACAACAATCGTGCTGTGACGGTTCCACCTGAAGACGGAAGCTTGTATTGCCTCCGAAACGTCGTGATTTGTATTTTTTTTTATTTTACTTTGATTAATTTTAATTTTAAATTTTTAACCTAAGTGACTTTACCGACAAAACCTAAGAATATATTGAGTATATTGATTACTTCTAAATTTGAAGCTTTCGTGACTGCAAGGATTCATTCAGTCACGTAGGTAAAAATTAAAATTAATAAAAGTAAAATAAAAAGGAAAGCCACTCACACAGATTCCTACTTGAAACCTGATTCCCATCACCACCCATCTCAAAATAATTATCTCATCAAAACGCTATACCACAGAGCTCATGGCATTTCTGACCAACACCACCTGGCCAGTGAATTAAGACATGTACATCGGGCCCTCAGGATGAATGGATACTCTGACCACACCATCCGCCAAGCTGTTTCTCCCACCATACAGAAACAGCCACTTGAAACTCCGATCAAAACTATCACATTGCCATAGATAGCAGGCGTGACCAAAAAGACACCTGTTCACAGAAGAAATCAATCAATCAGATTCCAAACTCTCCACCATGGCCAAGACCAAAGAGCTCTCCAGAGATGTCAGGAACAAGCTTGTAGACATACACAATGCTGGAATGGGCTACAAAACCATCGCCAAGCAGCTTGGTGAGAAGGTGACAACAGTTGGTTCGATTATTCGCAAATGGAAGAAACACAAAATAACTTTCAATCTCCCTCGGCCTGGGGTTCCATGCAAGATCTCACCTCGTGGAGTTGAAATGATCATGAGAACGGTGAGAAATCAGCCCAGAACTACACTGGAGGATCTTGTCAATGATCTCAGGGCAGCTGGGACCATAGTCTCCAAGAAAACAGTTGGTAACACACTACGCCGTGAAGGACTGAAATTCTGCAGCACCCGCAAGGTCCCCCTGCTCAAGAAAGCACATATACATGCTCGTC